ACAGGTAGGTAGACAGTCTCCCCCACACCAACATCAGAATTCATGCTCATGTTTTTCAGACTGGACTGCAGCAATGGCCATAGATTGAGGTTTTCAAATCCCAGCTGCAGAAACTTGGCACTTGCTTGTCCTCCCCGAAATGACTTCTGTGGAATTAAAATTATTGTATCCTGAGATCAAGTATTTAGGATCAGAAATCATATTCAAATCTTGTCCAAGGTCCAAATAGCAGCAAAGTGAATGGAACTGCTTAGAGTGCGAGTCAGAGCCAGAACGTTTGCCTGAAACAGCTAAAATTTTTTGCTGAATCTAGCTCGCACGCTGCTACTGTATCGGTTCGGGAGCAGGAAGCAACTAACCATTGGGTTATGGCCACAAACTGAGACTTGATGGTTGCTTACAAGATGCTCTGTTCAATGCAGACAGTTAACTAGATTATGATTTGATCTAAAATTTCAATGCCAATAGTTTTCCATATTCAAATGCCTCCAAACAGTTCCTTATAATCTTGCTATTAGCACTGCAACTCTAATCTTAGATGTTTATATGAAATGTACTCCTCGGGGCTGTACTTCGCAAGTGGGAGCCGAAACGTATCATGCCTCCGAGCGGAGCGGAGGGCTGCCCAGATGCACACAGCTATTTCAATGACAGCTGCAAGAAGCACTCCTCTATTTTTCCCCTTCTCTGTCTGTAATAGAGGAAGGAGGAATGTGTGTATAAGGTTTGTTTAGAGCAAGTTGAAGATAGTGCTCTTTCTCCACTCTTCTGTGGTTAAAGAAAAAAGAAAAAGAAAAGGCTGAGGAGTATTATGGGATAATAGAGAAGCACACATAGCAAGACACCAACAACATAGAAGTTGCGTGCACTCCCTAGTTATAAGAGAAAAATACGTGCAGATTTATAGTACGCACAGGCATGCTGAATCTACACAGAGCCTAGCATGCTAGGCTAGAAAAATAAATTTCTACAATGCATTATTTTACAAAAGGTTTCTGCAAACAACCACTTATTACTAAGGCTCCATTTTTCTCAGCTTCTATTTGCTGCATTTGTAACAGAAAATACCTCTGAAAAAAGGCAGCGTTAATTTCTTTCTGCAGTTCTGTGCTGCCACAATGGCTCTCCATGAGCTTTCACAATGAACGGCGAACAGCTCGTGCCAGAGTAGAGAAGCAGAAAGGCTAAGGTTGCTTCTTTTTTTCACTCCCAATTGCCCTTTTTGCCACAGCCTTTAGCTGGATCGTTTGTTCTTCCACTTTTTACTTCTGCACAGGTACAGTCTATTAAGTTTAAACATTCAACATGTCCCCACTAGGTTTCTTCCCCCCATTCTTTGGTGTCAAGCCTCTTGCCCTTTTTTTTTTTTTTTTTTTTTAAATTTCTCTTCAGTTCTTTAATATCCCTTTGCAAGCTTTCACTCTGATTAGCAGCGATCATGAAAGCCAAGTGGAGGCTTCATATTCTCCCTCTCCCATCTCTCTGAGGAGCCCCCACACCAGACCAGGCCCGTTTTCTCAGATCGCTTTGTGCCCTGCTTCCTGCTGGCACTTTGTGGCCACCGCTGTGCTCTGGACCTGGGAGGTTACTGTCTCCTGGCTGGTGCCCTCACAAGGTTACATCCACTGCCACCCATCTCATGATCACTCCCTAAACCACAGCCCTATTTGAACGCCCACTGCAGGACAGCCAGTGCTGCCCAGCCCGCTCCTCCTCTCTCACCCCCAGCTCCAAACCTACGGTTAGACCTTCCTTACATTTGCAACTCACCTAGAGAATAAACTCACGTCTCCCTGATTTCCCTGATGTGGATGGCCACCAGTACTCCCGCTTGGTTTAAACCCTTGGTCCCCTCGGCTAGCCCCTCCCATCCATCGAGCATCTCTCCCCTTTCCTTTGGGATGTCCCTGCACTTCCCATCCCAAACTTCAGGGCAGAATTAGCCGTGAGCCCATGACACCTTTTACCCGATACCAGGGCCATGGCCCTTTGCAGCAGCCCCGCGCTCATTACCTTACTCTCCACCACGGAGATAAGAATCTGTTCCATGATGCTGCTGGTTGCCGGGATGGAGGTCTGGATGTGGCCGATGACCACGCCGATGGCCACGCGGGACAGCTCGTAGCTGAGGTTGGTGTTCCTGCGCACCAGCTCGATCAGCTCGGCCCCGATTGTCTTGGGCACGGACGTGGTCAGGCCACTGGGCTCTGGCGCTGTGGGCTCCACCGCGGCCGCCTTCTTGTCGTCAAGGCAGAGCGCGCTGAAAGCGTCAAGGCTCGCAGGGGAAGCCGGGGCAGCTTTCTTGACCTGAGGATCCTTCTCCCTATCTGTAGCACCGGACCTCTGAACCCCTCCTTCAGTGGGTGGCGCGGGGGCAGCCCGCTTGGTCTGGGGAGATTTGCTAGCCCCCTCCTTTGGGGAAGTCCCATAACGGGGGTGGGCCACTGAGCTTGCATCCAAATTGCGCGTTATGGTGGTGTGAACACTCCGGCTGGGGACAGGGGGAGGCGTGTTGGCAGGACTGGACGTGGCCGTTGGGAGAGCGGTTTCTGACGCAGAAGAAGCAGTGTACAAGGTATCCAGGGACGTTGTGCTTATAGAGGAGGCGCTAGAAGCTGACCCAGAGATAATTTCAACAGCATCTGAAAGGGAACAATTAAAAAATGCCTTAGCAACAGCATCAAAGCAAAAAAGAAAAAACAAATTGCTGCAGCACAGTCCATTAAAAGGCTCATTGTGCATGCTACCAGAGCAGTTTAACTCCTCTTCCTGCCTCACTTGTCTCAAAGCGAAATTGTACGAGTTCTCTCTGGAGCATTTCTGCACAATCACCTCTTTAGAAAGGGGAAAAATACTCAATTGAGATGAATACCCTTCAAAGGGCTTAATGTTTTACGCAAGAGAAGGGAGGGAGGGAGAATCAGGACTAAGGGACAGAAAAGTCTTTTCCCCTGGCCTAGCAAGGACCTTCTCCATTCAGGATATAAGCCATTACTTTTGAATGACATGCCTGAGAGTTTCAAGACACTGAACGCTTCACATGCCAGCAAGCATCTCCCCCTTGCTCAGATCTCTCCCTGAAGCACCAACTGTACATGTACACCCCAAGTAGCATCAACAGTGAGGAAACCATTTGGCTGACGAGCACCGGTGGTCTCTCCTTTTCTGCATTTGATCACAAGCCCCGCAGACCTGGACTGCATATACTGCTTTCCCAAGCCACCAGAAGATTATCTGTTCTACTTTATTTCTTTCTCCCTTTTAGTTTTGACTAGCTCTAGCAGTGATAGTTGTCTCATTTTTCTAGGAAAAAATCTACTACAAGCAACCAAATTGTTAAGCTTTTTCTTTACTAACATCCAGTCTAACACGGAGCTTTGTTAAGCCTTATCCATTTGTTTCTGGAGGACACAAACACATCTGACTCCTTTCTTGACTATGAAAATAGACAATTACTTGGGCAAACACTAGGATATCTTCATCTAGAGTTTAGAGAGAACAGCTGATGCTGGAGCTGGAAGAGAAAGAACGTACACCACAGGGAGCTCGCTTCTCAGAGAACATAGTCTCGCTCCGCACAAATATTCCCACAGCCTCTGTTTCTCTGATACACCTGCTTATGCACAGGAAATTACCTTTTCCCTCAGGCAACACATCTTTCTCCTGTACCAAACGAGGGATTGACACATGAAATGCCTCCTCATTTGTCTTCTGCTGTGCAACCTGTCCTGCAACCAAGCCAAATCACACCTCCTGCTGCACTTCCCCAGCCTAGGACTGCTCTATATTTTCTGGAAACGCCCATGAGTCCTTGCACTGCTATGAAGGATCTACTTCAAGACAAGCACAAACTGGGCAGAAAAAAAATGCATCCCTTCCTCCCACAGGGGTTCAGCATCCTCCCGTTTTTTTTCCCCTTCTTCCTCTTTTCACAGAGAAGCGTTCACAAATTATAGTTCCCATTACGTTTCACTAAATCAAGAATGAATTCAAGGAAACCAACCTTCGCAAAGTCCCACTACCACAGGGAAAAATGGCTCAATAAATACCATTAAGGAAGCTGGTGCCAGCTCCAAGTTTCAATTAGCTGCACGCTCTGACCTGCCCTGCCCCTCGCAGGGGGACACGAGTGAGCCGCAAACGGGCTGCGCGTCACTGCAGCGTAACCATCACTGCGCAGGACGGCACTTTGGCAAGTCGACAGCAACTCAGCAAAATGACTCTGCTCACTTCCTCGATAACCCTTCGGTGCTGAAGACGGAGGAGCTCCTGCTGGCGGCTCATGGTCCTGCTCTCGTCCGGACCCAAGCACCCGCGCCTACCAGCTCCCCTACCTGCCTGCCGTGCCCCTGGTCGCTACCGGCCCGGCGATGGCGTTATTCCTGCTTCTCACAAGAGACCAGCCACCAATTCCACAAAAATCTCATCTGACCGTTGAACGGAGAACACGCTCGACAGCCTGGAAGCCAAAAGCTGACCTGAGCCTGTCCTAAAAGCACTACTAGTGAGCTCCCTCTGGTGAGCTACTGCACTTATCACAGCCAGGAAGAAGCCTTGCTTTGCCTTGGTGGGAGATGCCCACAGTGTTTGTGCCAAGGAAATGGCCACAAGGACCTTAAATCACAGCGGCGGGCACTGGTCAGATTAGCCATGTGGGCAGCCAGGTTCGTGCCCCGGAGAGCACCCCCTCCTCCACGGTAGCTGGCGTAGGAAGCCCAAAAGGATACTGTACCTGGCATCCGTCGGCAGCTGGCAGGAGAGAAAGCGCAAGCGCCACGCAGCCAAAAGTCCTTACAGATGAGAGAGGACAAAGGAGCACTGACCACCACCGTTAGGATTAAAACCTACAGGAATTTAAACCCAGCGTTCCCTTTAGCAACAATCAAGGGGATGCTTTTCTAAGTGTGCAACGAGCAGTCGGTCCAGGGAATGTCATCTAGTTCATTGTCTGTCTCTTGCCCGAGATCTGAAAAGTGGCTTGTCCTTACTTTTAATAGGTGCAGCAATCTGTGCGTTCTTGCGTTTCTCTGGAGGTGGGGGCGTGATGGGGGCCGCACGCCGGGGCTGTGGTGGGATCTATAAGGAAAGATTTTAGAGCAATCAAAGGAGGTTGACAATAAAGACGGTCTCTGTTATAAAGCCCTCTTTTTGGTGTGCGTGTGTAAATTTGTCCTTACATCTCTCTCATCATGCTGGGAGGTTTTCTCAGGAGGACAGACATTAATAGGCAGCTTCCTAGAGGAACAAAGCAGGACTCAGACCCGCTTCATCCCCTCCCTGTGACAGGAAAAGCAGCCCTTGTTTAATTGCTATGTTCAGCAGCACATAGCACACATGTCGTGTAGACCTGTCAAGCATTTACTCCTTCCTTATTCCAAATGCAATCCCACACATTCACCGTGACTTTACATTACTCTCAATAGCTCCACAGAGGCTGCAAACAGAGAGCATATTTAGATACTCTTCTGGCGAGATCCATTACATCAGCTACAAATATCCTTGCAGAGAGACAAAGCCAAGGACTGGAGACATTCCTTTTCCATGCTTTCACAGCTATTTCTACTTACACAGGGAGGGAGAAAAATCAGGCTAGAATCACTGTGCGGTTCTGCACTATAGCAAAACCTGCTGGGAAAAGCTCTTGCTAGCGAGTTGACCAACTCCCTGCATCTGGTATCGCTCCTGTAAGTCTCCTCTCCTAGCAAAGCTGAGCCAGGAACATAAGAGCCCCTGACCCAGATTTCTACGCTCTGATCTTTCCCTGTTGGATACAGATACCACGATCGCTCATGTCTTTTTTCACCTAGAATTACCGCAGTGGGGTGTAATATCCCCTCTGATCGCTTAGGAAGTAGCGGCTATCACTGAATACAACAGCCAGACCAAGTGGAAGCGCATTGCATCAGCGCTTGAACCCGCGCATCCTAACAGCCGAGAGGCCCGGGTCTCCAAGGATTTCCACGGTTCAGAGCCCGGCTGCCTCAAACGCACCTCTGTTTTTATGAGATATTGCAATTGCTGCCCGCAGAAACACAATTTAGGTTAGAATCAGAAGGGAAAAGAGATTATGGCCTGAATCTCTCAGCAACAGCTCAAGGAAACCAGCTGGAATATACCAGAGTGACATTCAGGCCATTACACAATGCTAATTTTGTTTCTTTAGCCCTGAAAAAGAAGTTTATCTGTGAAGTGGGAACAGGGATCAATATTGAACTTCAGAACGGTCCCACAATGCTGACCAAAGGCACAGAGCACTGCCAACCCCCAGAATGAAAAACAGACCGGCCCCTGAAAAAGCCAGGAGTAAAACTGTATTTTAAATAGCTCCAGAACAAGAACAACAACAAGTGTACTTTTTCCTGGAACAAAAGAGGGCAGAAACTTGCTCTGAGATGGGAGCAAGGACGTTCCTGTAAAGAAGATGCATCTGGGAGCTGCAGCTTCAAATATTTTAACACTCCATGTCAAAAATTGACAATACAGTGCTCATAGCCCTCAGTGAAGCCTACCTGAAATCCGAAAACAGCATTTTACACAGCTTATAAAGACATTTAAAAAGGGGTGTCTTGCTCCCTCCCTCCCACCCAACTTGTAATACATCCAACCAGTTACAAAGGCCTGTATCAAGCCGCTTCTTTAGGTGCGCCGCCTTTAACTAGTCAATTAGACAGAGGGACTGCTGGAGGCTCCCAGTCTGAGCTCTTCCGTTATTGTCAGCCCACCTCATGTTGTCATCTGGATAAAACGCTATATGATACTCGCAGAGAGAACCAGCTGGAATCTAACAAGTACGCACTTGTCCTTTCAAAATCACCACTGTTGGTCCAAAAGGGGACCGTACTGCTGAGAGAGGCAAATCTGAGCACGAGAGGTCTCTGCAAAGCATGGCTGGAAGGCTGGTCCAAAATCAGGAAAGCTCAGCTGTGCTAAAGCCAGGCCCTCTGCACACAACGGCAGGGAGAAGCAGTACGAGCCAGAGCTGCTTGGCACAGCACGGCCATAATTACCGAAGCAGCAGGATTTAGCAGCCAGGCAGGCTTAGAGTTCAGAGCAGCAGCGTGACATTATTTAGAGACAGAGAGGGCCGGGTCATTCTCGAGTATTTCCATGGCTTTATTATCCCTTCTAAATATACCAGACAAGTGTAACACAACTATTAGAGATTAGTGTTTAAATTAATAGATGTACCTCTGATGTTAGCTCAGAGCCCCAGATAGCATCACGCAGACGGCTCGGCCAGCCTCATTTAGGCGGCTATGCATTGCAGCCCGAGTGGTTGCAACGAGAATGCGAAGCATCAAGTGAATTTCCCAGGGCTAACGCCTGCCAAAGCTGCGAGCCGCAGCGCGGTCAGGCCTCGAGAGGGAGTAACAGATGGCCATCCCCACCCTCAGCCCGCCATCGAGGGGGCTCATGTGGACGGCATACAGCAATCAACCCCCGGGAAGGGGAAGAAAGGTGAGAAAATGTCCTCCCTCCCTCCAGCTGCCTTGGGGAAGGTAAGCCACAGGACTCCTCGCATCTCAGATCCTCCTCGCCACAGGATCGTCGCCAGGGATCCGGGGAGGGAACTGCAGGGATCTAGAGACAGACAAGTACACGAGTGGCAGAGACGTCCCTTTCCCCAGGGCTCTACAGGGGCTGTGAACTTTGCCAACTCCACAGATTTTACACGCGTGCTCCCCTCCTTTCCCACCCTCCAGGGACTTCTAGGCAGAGGCACGGTTGCCAGCGCTGCTTGGGACGAGAGATGACTGAATCACAACACCCTCGTCCCCTTCCCGCTGGGCAGGCACAGACACCACCAGCCTTTGGACTCTGACTTGCGGGAATTATGCTATTACTAGTATGATCCTTTAAAAAAAGGCACGTAACCTCCTCAAGACAAACTTTGCCAAGCTGGACACTGCAGTCTACAGCAAAGCCTTCCAGAGAAGGGCATCAGAAGCCCACGTTAAACCTTCACAAATGCAGCAGATTTTACGGCTGAATCAGTCTGAGCACCTTGCCTCTTCCTTCAGCACCTGGTATACAACTGCCCCAGATTCCCACCCCATGGTAACTTGGAGAGGAGTTAAGCAAAGGCTCAGCACGGGTGCTATGACCTGCTACTTTAGCCAGTTTAGCCCCTGGGGAGCAAAGCAGCCCACACCACCAACAGGAAATCTGCACTTTAAAATTTTGCTTAAGTCTTCAGATGCAAAATAAGATGCACCTAGAAGTCCAAAGCAGTGAAAAACACAACCCAAGACCTCTGCTTCTCAAGAGTTATTGAAAAAGTTCAGATTTCAGTAGGTCTCCTCTTTGGCAGCTGCATAACCAGCTAGAGTGGAGGAAAGCAATGATGCTTCCTCCATTTTGTACTTGCAAAACATACAGGAAATCCCTCCATCGAACGGTTACAATCTCCAAGAGCCCTTTCAGCACGGTGCAAACAAAGCTGGATACACTTTGACTGCATCCTTACTGCCACCCACACAGAAACAGTTCTTTGTTAGCCAGGGAATTTGTCTTGTTCCTTTTTGGCAAACGACCAGACCACAGATCAACAGAGAAAGACGGGAAATTAGCACAGTGAATGGGCCTTAAGGTGCTCCATTTTCTTAGCCCGTAAACGCAGAGGCTTAGGAACGCAGCTGATCTGGCTGCCTAGAAGAGAGAACTAACATCAAGGAGAAAAATGGGATTTGTAAGGCTGCCTGTGTTCTGCATGAGCCAGAGCTACCTTTAATCTCTGCAGATTCACAATTCTTTAAGTGTAAAACAAGCCTCATATACCAGCAGTGACAGTGTATCAGCACCTTATGAACACTGCTTCCAAACAGTTATTCTTGATAGATGAAGACAGACTACAGTGTACATGTTCATCTGCAGGAGAAAAACATCTCCCTGCTCATCCTTGCTTAGCCTTTAGCCCTAACTTCCACCTCTACCTACCCTGTGTAATCAGCCACATAATTCATCCTGAACAATTGCTGCACCCGTCCTCGGCTACTTCTTTGAAGCCTTGCTGACGCCACACAGTAACCTTGGAACACGTACCATTCAGATAAAAAAAGAAATCTGCTTCTAAATTGTATTTCCTGTATTTCACCCTTAATTCATCACTACAAGGAACATTCAGACAAAACAGGATCTTGCTTTTTAAGATGTGAGTACTAAAAATAAGCAGCCACAGCCGATAAATGCTAAAGAGCAAAGATCCTGTTGTGCAGATTTAACAAGGGAAAAATATAAAGCAGTGCTGAGTACTCAGAGAGCGCTCTGCTGCTTATGTCAAAACTGCTTTTCAAAGTATCCTCTGAGGAAGCTGGAACATTTTAGAAAGCTGTCAAGCAATAGCCATGCAAACTAGAGCGGACCTTGCGCTTCACCATAAAGTCTTGGACTCTCAAGGATCCCAAGAAGCATTAAAAGTGTAAATAATACAAAGGGACTGTTCCAGACTCCTTGGATAGAGCATAGGCTCAATTTACAGCACCCAGGGAAACATCATAGTAGTCCCAGGCAAGCAACAAAAATACTTTCTTCACGGCTTCAGCTGTGCAAGGCGTTTCATTAAACAGAATAAGCAATGTTATATTATCAAAGAAGGAAAGCGTCCAGCCACTGTTACCTGATACAGGCCTTCATCCTCCTCCTCAAACTCAGTGTTTGGAAGACTGTGATGTCGCTCGTATCCCGTCCGGCACACCCCGTTGGGCTGCCGCGCCACATCCAGATGGTGATCGCTGGAGGACTGGGTCATAACCATCCCCTGAGGGCTAGGTGAATGACCTTTGCGGGACACAGTCTCCTTCCGGTGATGGATCAGTTTTCTGGAATGGAATGACAACATCAGGAAGAACAAAGCTAACGGAAGGGAGTCACTGTGCTGCAACGTTTAAATGAGATATTGCATTGGGATTTTTTATATACATCAGAATGGGGTTATGTTACTCTGATGATTGACTCCAGTTTCATTAACAACTGAAGCACTTCTCGGGGAGGAAGGAAGAGACTCTGCAAAAGGCTCATGATTTATTCATAAGTTCGCAGGAGAAAAATGCCTCTTCTTCAGGGGAGTTACACATTGCATTGCAAGCTTCAGAGATTGCCTGCACTTTAGAATCACTGTTCAACTGAGATGAAGCCAGCGTGCATCAGCGCACAGTGTGAGGTGTCAGAGGAAGAAAATTCTCATCACAATCAGTTATTTGTGAACATCTTAAAGACCCTGTGCCACATGGCTAACAACTCTTGCCATTCCTGGTTGGTAGAGGGGAGAAAACACAATAGGAAAGGTTTTGGATTTCTCCTCTAAGCCTACAAGGCAGCTGAGTTTCCTTTTCTTTCTATACACAGGGACAGAGGGGCAAGATGAAGCACCGCTTTGTTGGAAGGCAGCTGACAGGAAGAGCAACAGAGGCAGTCACTAGATCTGGAAAGCTCACTGGGCATATCAGCACTGTGCAGCACAGGGACTCAGATCAGCGATGTCCAAATTGACCACCAGGAACAGAAGAGACAAAAGCATCACGCGCTGACCACCCTCCATCTGCCACCACTGCCTGGTGCTGGTGGTACTTACTGCAGGACATCTCTCTGCTCCAGGTTGTACTTGCCTCCATTCTTCATGGCTGCATTGTGCACAGCCTCGATGGCACGGTCAATGGACTGGAGAACCACATCTTGCTCCAGCACCTGAGAAATGTGACATTTTGCACATTACTACACGGCTTCAGCTGCAATCCTTTTACATCAGAGCTTACAGTAGGAAAGACTGAAGTACATGAAACCCACGGAGCAGGCACTGAAAGAGCCGAACAGCCAGCGAGCAGTTCCCAGAGCCAGGACCCCATCCTGCCACTGCCTCACTTTTCCCTCCTTTCTCCAAAGGAAACATATTTGAAGCTGTGCTCAAAACAGAGTCTACTCATTCAAGGTTTATGGCTGGAAAAGAAAGCCACCGTAAGGAGCACCAGTGAGCACCCTGCAGCTCTGTGCCTGCCTCGCCGTTCGGGCCCTGAAGCCCAGCAATCATTGCAGGGAGATCAGTGGCAGAACCTCAGACCACAAAGCAGCCTCGAATATTCAGACTGCTACCGGGAGCTTTTGAGATCCCCCTGCAAAACCCAGCTTATTCCAAGCTCAACTCTCTCTGCTCTCACCACCCTGCTATAGAGCAAACCCACAGCGGTGAATGTTACAGACCTAGCCAAGATCTGGTGGCCTTGCAAGTCAGCTGGCTCTGGTTCTACATTTTTGCTCACTTTTTCTTGATGGTTTTATATTTGTTCTGCAACTTGAAATGGCTTTCCCAGATCTCCACCCAAACCATCACAGTAACATTTATTCTTCATGCCAGCCAGTTTGACACTTGTTACTGCAGCTGAAATAAACACCAGCCTTGAAACAAGAAATACCAAACATGTCACTCACCAGGCTTACACAGGAGGCTGGCAGCGAGTGAGCTCTGGTGAAGGGACATAGGAAAGTTAAAGCAGGTTTCCATGCTTGGGATCTTCTTCAAGACTATGTTTTCAGTCTTGAAAACAAGTCTTGACAAGTCTTCAGAAGAAAAGTACTAGGGCCCTTTAGCAGCAGCCCAGCAGAGCTGCAGACTGCCCATAAGCTGTGGCGGCTGGTGTCTGCACTGCTTGGTATCGCCGCGTGCAACCTCAGCCTGCTGCGCGTAGGGGCTGAGCAAGCGGGAAGGGGAGCGCTTGGACCCCAGCGCTCATTGCAGCTGTTTGAACATTAAACCTCCTTCATCTTCGCTTGCTTTGCCCCCCTCCCTGCATCAGAGCAACCATTTATCCAGCCAAGGAGCGGCTGGATCTCATCACCGATGCACCTTAATTGGCCTTAGGGGGCTGCAGAGCAGCAGAAGGCAACCCCTCCCCGCCAGGGCCAAAAGTGCCTGCCTCCTTAGCACTGCCATGCAGTTTTCTGATAGCATGCTATGTATTATTTATGTCCTGATTAATTGCTAAACCAAATGTGAATTAACAGCAACTGCAGACTCTGAAAAAACTCCAAACACGGCAGGGAATGAGAAGCTCTCTCTGAAACACTTTGGAAAAAGGAAAGCTTCAGAAAAAGAAAAATTTAGAAGATTGCTTTTGTTGGTTTGTTTGCTTTCCCAAGAAAAGAGATAAGGAAGAAAACAACCGGGAGGACTTTTAAAAATAAAAACAGGTATGTTAAAATAAATCTATCAAATTCAATTAACTGCCAGATCAAGGACCTAAGCAATACTCAGCACACAGCGTGGGGAGAAAGCCTCCAACAGCCTCATCCCAGGAGGAATTTTGCCACCTATAACTAAAGGTCTAATTAAGAAAAGCAAGCAGAGCTCGCTTGAATACATTTAAAGGAGCGTTGGAAGGAAACGCAAGATATTTCAGAGAATGCATTTCTTCTTCCGAGACGATAAGAGAAAATTAAGGCAAGCTGCACATTTCCTCTGGGAAAGGGGAACAGCAAGTGCAACGGTGCAGAAACCTCCCAACAGCTCCCTCCTCAAGGGAGCTCCCAGGCTGTTCCGCGCGCTGGAGTCCGCTGCCCTCCGCCCAGCCCTCACTGCCACCCCACGCTGCTCCCACGTAAGCTCCCACCCAAAAATTCAACACAGCTCCTGCTGCAGCCTCCAGACACCCGCTAGCCTGGCGCCTCCAGCCCAAGGGATTTGGGGACATCCACCCGAGCGTGCCGCCACAGCTCCATTCGGTCGGTTGCCACGAGCCGACGGCGAGCGCGCTCTCAGCCCCCTCGCCTGACGTACGCTGCCTCACACCGCCCTCCTGACGGGTTAGGGAACGCTTTATTTCACACCCTTCACTGACCGCCTGCACAGGATCAGCCGAGGCAGCGACTTGCGTAACCGCACTAACACAATCGCTGCGGTTCTGCGAACGTGTCTTCCCTCCACAGCCACCACTGCCCCCACCAAAAATATCCCTTTGCACCAGATGCACCCCTCTAGGCTGCTTTCTCTCACCCTCCCCAATCTGCAAGGCTTTTACCCACATGGTTTGCAACCTTTTTCACTCTGATCTTCCCAGAGAAGATCACAGTACAGAGCACCAGGCAGCTTTGCTTTCCTGCCCTCTTCCACAGTCCCTCACAGTTGTCCCCAACGTACCAGAAAGCCACACGCTGAAGCTGCTCTTCACTTTGCGTGATGCTATTTGGGAGAGAGACAGTGCTTCTTACCTGGTAAAATACACCATTTTTACACTGACGTTAACAGCCCTGTGACAACCGGCTTTTTGCTGCTGTGCTGCTCCTTCGTTTTTTCTATCCAATCCTGTATTATTAACATGGCCTTGTCAAAAGGACTTGAACAGAAAAAGCAGCATTAAGCTAAAGCATTAACTTGCCACTTGCGCTTTATGACGTCGTTCGCGCTACTCATGTATCGTATCCTTCTCCCTTGCTCGTCTGATCTGTTCAGCTGGCAGGATCTCCAGCACAGGGGGCCACCTTGTATTCAGGGTTTGTAGGACACACAGCCTTGGGGCTCCCTTGCACTACATAAATAAACATAGCGAATGAGAACTGATATCCTGAATAAATCATTTGACTAGACAGGAACGAGTCAGCCACACATTCCTTGACGTTAATCAAAAAGGCACTGGCAAGGCTCGCTTTGTGAGAAGGGAACGGACAAAAACCACAGCCCCACGTTGCAGTTAAAGGAACATGGACTCACGAGGGTGAAAGTCAGGTCAGCCAATGGCTCATCTACAGTTTTTTTTTTCCCTAGGATCCAAGGGATGACCAACTCGCAGGTATTCAGAGAAGTGCACAGGCCTAAAGATCCAATCTGCTTCTGTTATCTCACTGTTTCTTCCGCAGTTTCGGAAG